AAAAAAAAAAAAAAAAAAAAAAAAAGGAAAAAGCACTACCAAAAATAAATGAAGAATATAGTAGCAAAAGTTTACCATAAAGTTTGCTAAACACTCTGGAAGCTACAAATGCCAGAGACTACTGTGACACCTTTAACTGGGTCTCTTTCAAACTGGGAGAGGATTAGCTTAATAGCTGACCACTGACTTCGGGTCAAAGAACTTGGAATTACTTGCTCTGCTCCAGCTTACTGAAAATCTTTCAAAGGATAATAAATATTTTTATTTTAAAACCACTAATTTTAAGGGGAAACCAATTTTTAACCAAACACATTTAAAAAACACAGATATTTTGTTGTTTCAGGCTTATCCAGAATAGTCCTAATCCATTCAGCTGCAGAAGGCCCCCTATAATTGGAACCTCCCCCGTTTTGAATAAATCCAAAACTATGATTGGTAGATCCTATGAAGTCCTAGGTCCACTTTAGGTGATGAACTGAAAGCAGCAGCAGTTCCATGTTCACAGAGCATGACACATACACATAAAGCATATTTATAGTGCCACTTTTCCAGCTCAGGAAAACTCACACACTATTAGACATCCTCAATTTCCCTGCCTATAAACCATGCCTCTCTAATTCCTTGGAACAGGGAGGAGTTACAATCACAGGTGGCTTTGAAACGGGTGAAATCTCTATCATCATTTCCTCACTGTTCTTTAAAAGCTTGTAATCTTTCAAGTTTCAGCTTTAGGGGCTCACACTGACTCTCAGACTTCATAAACTTCCTTCCTTGATATATAACATGCTAATTCATGCGAAACGCTCAAAATTGTTTTAAAATCACACCTATGGATACCTTTGCAAGACCTCACGCCTCTACTCCCAACAATAACTAGTAAAACCTCTGGAAACAATCTACAACTTGCACTTGAGCAGACAAGAGAAAGGAAGTGATGGCTTTAAAGGGTCGCAGCTTTCCTGGGCTCCAAAGAGACGCCCTCGTTCACTCCTGGGAGGCTCAAGAGGTTACCAGAAGCTCCTGCCAGAAGTGCGAGGCGGGGGTGCGGGCGTAGGTAAAGCAGAGAAGATAGGTGGACGGCCCTGGGACCAACTGGGGTGCCGAAGCCTGCAGGCGGGATGGAGTGGAAGGAGGTGAGGCAAAATTAGGCAGATACAGGAAGGAGCCAGTGGAGCGAAGAAAACAGGGCAGGCGTGAAGTAGAACCCTAGAGGAACCGACGAATTCGGGACTCTGAGGGTTTCCGAGGGTCCAGTTCTCTCACCAGAAAGCCGCGTTCAGCCCCAGGCACCACAGGGCGCTCCTGGCTGGCCGTTCCCACACCAGGGCTGCCTGCACTCGACTCAGCAGAGGCTCGTAAGGCCCCAGCACCTCCACCAGGGCCCGCTGCGCCGCCTCAACCTGCTGGTCCCGCTCCCAGGAGCCTGACACATCTCGGTGGCCCCTGAAAGTCGACCCCGAAGCCGGGCCTGGGGTAGGAGCCACCCCCTCAGCCTCCGCCATCTCCCCCCGGCAACCACAACATCCGGGGCCGTGGCCCGATAGTCACAATAACAGCAACTGCGCAGATGCGCGACTGGACGGGGGAGGTGGCTTCGCACCACAACGCGCTTCCGCGCAGGCCCAAGCACGCGCCCACCCAGAGAGGAGGGAGGACGCTGCGTCAAAGTACAACGCCCGCGCGGAGGCGCTTAGCCCGATACGGGCTGCGCACGCGCAATATGGATGACTGAAGGCCAATGCTTAAGGATGTGCCATTCACTGCCAGAACTAGGTTCTCATTGGAGCGGAGGAAGTCTGTGGGTGGAGCTGGTTGTTTGGCGCCTGCGTCTTGCGGCGAGCGGGCTGGCGTGCGGCGGGAGCGGCTGCAACGCCCGTGCCTGAGAAGCGATGCCGAGGGAAATCATCACGCTACAGTTGGGCCAGTGCGGCAATCAGAGTGAGCGAAACTCCGGCCCTTCAGCTAGCCCGGTTCCTTAGGGTTAATGGGATCTCGCTGTGGGATCCTGGACTCCATCTGTCCTTGCCAGAATTGTAGTTCTCTGAAAGGCAAGACATCCCTGACCCAATGTCCACTTGCCTTAACCCCGAGGGGCCCTCCCCTGCCCAGTGCCTGGCGTACAGTCCTTTCCTCAGACACGGGAGAGTCCTGCGGCTTGACTTCTTATCCCAGGACGCAGGCGCCCAGTCCCCCAGCTCTTGATTGGAACCTTCCGGGACCTAGATATCTTCTTTCTCCCCCTCCCCACCCCTTCCCCCCAGTTGGGTTCGAGTTCTGGAAACAGCTGTGCGCCGAGCATGGTATCAGCCCCGAGGGCATCGTGGAGGAGTTCGCCACCGAGGGCACTGACCGCAAGGACGTCTTTTTCTACCAGGTGCCCCCGGCAACTTGGTCAGGGGCGGCAGTGGCCCAAAGGGCCGGAAGGGAAGGGAGTGGCCTGGTACTGGGAGACCCGCTAGGCAAAGGGCCAGGCGGCTGGCTTGAGGACGGAGGGCCGGAGGGAGCCAGAGTTGGGAGGACTTAGGACTTGGGCCGCCCTGGCTGATTGGGCTTCCTCCTGGACTCTCCCTGACAGGCAGATGACGAGCACTACATCCCGCGGGCCGTGCTGCTGGACCTGGAGCCCCGGGTGATCCACTCCATCCTCAACTCCCCCTATGCCAAGCTCTACAACCCAGAGAACATCTACCTGTCGGAGCATGGAGGAGGAGCTGGCAACAACTGGGCCAGTGGATTCTCCCAGGTTGTTTCCTATTTCCTGGCAGGGCCCACAACTCCCTGCGTAGGGACAGGCCCTATGATGTCTCCAGGAGAAAGGAAACCAGATCAGGGATGTATGAATGCTGGAGGGACAGACCTGGCTGCAGGAAGTGGACTATGTAATATTGTCAAGTGTCTACACTAGCTAATGCAGTGTGCCAGGCCATTCTAAGTGCTTTACATATATTAATTTTTTTAATCTTCCAACAACCCTAGAAGTAAGTACTACAGGTCCACAGTCCCTTGTCTGCCTTTCCAGGATCCAAAAAGCCGTGAAACCAAAGGACATTTCCTAACTAGTTTGGCAGCAAAAACAAATCTCAATGAAAACAGGCAGTTTTATAGTTTCCATCCAATTTATTGTCATTACTGATGATTTTTATTACAGAAATACTAATATGTTTGATTAATGTACTTCTGACTCCCACTGGAATTTTATTTAACCTATATTATATACACCATAATACCTTTCTAAAATCTGAAATATTTTGAATTCCAAAACATAACTGCTTCAACACTGTTAGATAAGGGTATATGGATCTGTATTATGATCTTCATTGTACAGATGAAGAAACTGAGGCATAGAGCAATTAAATAGGCTGCCCAGAGCTACATAGAAGTAGAGCCAATGGGCCAGGTGTGGTGGCTCATGCCTGTAATCCCAGCACTTTGGGAGGCTGAGGATGGCGGATCACCTGAGGTCAGGAGTTGAAGACCAGCCAGGCCAACATGATGAAACCCCATCTCTACTAAAAATACAAAAATTAGCTGGGCATGGTGACATGTGCCTGTAATCCCAGCTACTCGGGAGGCTGAGGCAGGAGAATTGCTTGAACTCAGGAAGCTGAGGTTGCTATGAGCCGAGATCGCACCACTGCACTCCAGCCTGGGTGACAGAGTGTCCATCTCCAAAAAAAAAAAAAAAATAGAGCTAATGTATGAACACAGGTAATCCGGGTTGTAGAGTGCTTTCTTGTAACCACTGCACCGTACTGCCTCTCAGTGTAGATAAAAGGCAGGCAGCTATGCTCCATAAAAGGACTTCTGGTGCTGTAAGGTAAGTCGAGGGTTGCTTTCCTGAGGTCAGAGTCCTTCCATGATTCTGTCCCACTCTGACCCTCCCTATGTCTGTACAGGGAGAGAAGATCCATGAGGACATTTTTGACATCATAGACCGGGAGGCAGATGGTAGTGACAGTCTAGAGGTAAGTGTCCCAGGAATGCTGGTAGGAGCTGACATAGGCAAGGCTTGGCAACACCCTCTAGAAGTGACCTATTAGGAACAAGACCCACTCATGTACCCTTTGCACTGGACAGAAGCTACCAGGCCTTGCTGGAAACAAGGCAGTCACCTAAGCTGTATAAGTGAGGGTACTGGAGGGAAAGGAAGGGTTTGGGAAAATGGGAGTCCTAAAAAATTATGAGATGGGTCTAGTTTGAAATCCTGCCACTAGATTCCTGGACACTGACTGCCCCTTCCCCATTCAGGGCTTTGTGCTGTGTCACTCCATTGCTGGGGGGACAGGCTCTGGCCTGGGCTCCTACCTCTTAGAACGGCTGAATGACAGGTAAGTTTTGTTTGGGGATTAGGAAGGGTCACCAACTTGGCTTCCTAAATGACTAGGGGACCCAGCAGGTATAACTCCCTGTTTGCTGGGGCAGGAAAGAGTTCTATTCCTTCCTATAGAGAGGAAAAGGAAGTTACAGTGACTGAGAACCCCATCACACTCCCACTAGTGGGAACTGGAGCCTAGAATCTGAGCCCTGGATCAAAGTCCAGGGAGTGTGGAGTTGGAAGCCCAGATTCTAAGATGTCTCTGCCCTTCCCCCTATAGGGTTACAAACTTCCAAAAGTCAAGTCTCCCTTTTCTACTGATCTGACCCCACCCCAGTTTCGACATCAAGATTTAGCTGCTTCTGGACAGTTGTTAGGGAGCACCGTGTTTACCACACCTTCAGTCTGTTGCCCTGATACTTTCCCCAACCCCCACCAGGTATCCAAAGAAGCTGGTGCAGACATACTCAGTGTTTCCCAACCAGGACGAGATGAGCGACGTGGTGGTCCAGCCTTACAATTCACTACTCACACTCAAGAGGCTGACGCAGAACGCAGACTGTGTGGTGAGTCCTGGATTCTGCCTCTCTCAACTCTCAACACCCCATACCCCTTCAGGTCTATTAAATCATTTTCATGTATTTAAAAAAATCCGTTTTAGCCAGGCGCAGTGGCTCACGCCTGTAATCCCAGCACTTTGGGAGGCCATGGTGGTTGGATCGCTTGAGTCTTGGAGTTTGAGACCAGTCTGGGCAACATGGTGAAATACCTATCTACTAAAAATACAAAAATTAGTCAGGCTTGGTAGTATGTGCCTGTAGTCCCAGCTACTTGGGGGACTGAGGCAGAAGGATCACTTGAGCCTCAGAAGCAGAGGTTGCAGTGAGCTGAGATCGTTCCACTGACTGCACTCCAGCCTGGGTGACAAAGCGAGACCCTGTCTCAAAAAAAAAAAAAAAAAAAAACTTTAAATAATTAAGAAGAAAAGAAAAATTAAAAAAACATCTTGAGCCCTCCTTTGCCCCTAGGTCAGTGCAAATACCTTTCCAATGGGTCTCTCTGGCCATGAAGCTCAAAGGAAATTAAGCTTCGGAGCCTAGGGCCAGGCAGAGTTCCTATTTTTCCCATCCCCATCAATCTGCTACCTTCTTCTGTGCCCGCAGGTGGTGCTGGACAACACAGCCCTGAACCGGATTGCCACAGACCGCCTGCACATCCAGAACCCGTCCTTCTCCCAGATCAACCAGCTGGTGGGCCCCCACTGCTGGACTCCTTTGGACTGGAAGCCCTCCTTGCTGGAGGGTCATCTGGGGAAGGGAGGTCCCACTCAGGCCGAGGCCCATGACATGGCACCCCTGTCCCTAGGTGTCCACCATCATGTCGGCCAGCACCACCACCCTGCGCTACCCCGGCTACATGAACAATGACCTCATCGGCCTCATCGCCTCACTCATCCCCA